TCCTTCACCTGGCTGGTCATGGGAAACACTAGGACATTTAAAAAACTATAGTATCTTGAGTATTATCCCTGGGAGCCTGAATCAATGGGTCTAAGGCAGAGGCTGAGATTATGTATTTTTAAAAAGCTACTTCAAGTGATTCCAATGTTCTGGAAAGCACAGCACTGGAGTACGTGTCTCCTGTGGTTTCTTGGTTCTCAGAAGCATAGATTCAGTCCAGCCCTGTGTTTTTTCCAAGTAATACTGGCCACTGAATCCATTACTCATTCATTCCAGATTCAGGGCTCGGCGTTTATCGAGCACTTACTGTGTGCCAAGCACTGTGCTCAACATTCTGGCTGCAAAGAATGAATAAACCCCAGTGCCTGCCTCAAGGATCAGCCAGGTGGTGGGCGAGACAAACATAAATAGGAAGTTCCAATTCCTTGTAGCAAATGCTACAGAGGCAGGTTTATGTTGCTATAGGAGTACAGACCATGGGGTCAAGGAAAGCGTTGGAGCAGTGATGCCTCAGTCGAGTCCTATAGGAGTTAGCAAGGAAAAGAGGGGGTTGGAGGGGTGAGGCATGGCCAACTAGGCAGAGGGAACCACATGGAAAGGCTCAGAGACCCAGAGCAATGGGTTTGGGGAATCACAAGGAGCTGTGCAATGGTGAGATGTAGGGTACCTTTGGAAGAGGACCAGGAGGGGAGCCTGGAAGAGTTCGTGGGAGAAATTACATGGAGGACCTTGTGTGTTATGCTGAGTTTGGCCTTTATCCTAAAAGGGGTGAGGAGCCACTAAAGATGTTTAAGCTGTGGAGTGACAGAATCAGATTGTGTTTTAGAAGGGGAGCTCTGACAGCAACAAGAGAGTGAACCATAGGTACAAGGAGCTGGCAACAGAGATCCAAATTAATTGCAGAATTAAGAATTTATGTGTGTCAAAGAGCACCATAAACAAAATTTGAAAGCAAAGCACTTGGAAAGCATATTTGCAATGTTTCTTGACAAAAATAATATTCTTAATAAAATTACATATTGAGAATAAACATACCAATATCAAATAAATAGAAAAATCACAAATAAACAAGTACAAATGGTCAATGGGCATTTGAAGATGTTATTCACTAATAATCAAAGAAGTGTGAGTTCAAATAACATTGACATACTATTATTTTCCTACTGGACTGGTAAAGATTTGGTAAATGACCATACCCACTCTTAGTGAGGTTGCAGGGAACAGGGCACTCTCAAGCCTGCAAATAGGAGAGTGTGAAGTTTAGTACAAACTTTCTGAGGGCAGTTGGCAACATATATCAAAATTCTTAAAGGATAGCTAAGCAATTTCCTTCTTGGATTTTATCCCAAGGAAATAGCCATAAGTGTGTGCAAAATTTAGCTACAAGAATGTCTGCTGCAACATTATTTACAATAGAGAATGGGAACAAATGAAATAATCACTATAAGGAGACGGGCTACCAAGTGAGAGTCCATCCGCATAATGGGGATGCTGTTGAAAAAGTTTGAGAGACACACAAAAAATGTTTCATTCATAATATAGTAAGGGAAGTAGCACAAAGTGCAAAAAAGTGTGTCTGATATGCTTCCATTTGTGACAAAAGAATATATACACATATATTTGAAAATGCATAAATGTTTCTGGAAGGATATACAGTACAAGTAATCAGAGGGAAACTAGATGCTGGCAGATAGGGTGGGAAGGAGATTGACTTCTTACTATAGAACTTTGTGTCCTTTTTGAATTTTGTATCTGTACGTGTATTACATATTCTAAAATATAAATACACATTTTGAAAAGTAAGTTACTAAAGAATATACACAGTGTAATCCAGTTTTTGTTTAAAAAAAAACCATCATGTGCATGTGTACATTTATACCAAAAAGAACTGAAAGATAAGTCCAAAAGGATAGCAATGTTTGTCTAGGGTGGTAGGATGCTGGGCTGGAGTTTGTCTTTTTTTCCCCTGCTAAAATTTCTACAATACACATGTGAGGCTTTCATAACAATAACAAGAAAAGTATAATTTTTTCCACAGAGTCTATTACAAAAGTCCAAGCAGGAGATGACAAAGCAGGTCAGATCCAGGATTAGTGCTCCAGGTCTAGTTCAGCAGTGACATCTGCAAACAAAGCATGTCATTAAATCACAGTCCCTGTTTTGGGGAGGGATGGGGAGCAGGCAGCTGAAGGTCTGCTAAGGTGAATAGACCTGATCTTGCTTAACAGCTTTCTGAAGTCTCTGTTGGACAAATGCAGAGCAAGTTCAATCCCTCCACCCCAAACATTGAACAACACCCCCAGGCAATTTTTTACTTTGGGATCACTTAACTTTGGGTCACAGTGAATGGATTCCAGTAAGCAAGTGAATGCGAACCACCAGACAGGCAGATGGCCTGTGCCCAAGGTTGTCCTCTCCTAGCTCTGGTTTTCCACCTTCTTTTTAGAAGGATGGAGACCATCTTATCCCATCTGTACAGCTCTGCCCCAGCTTACTTGTTGAGGCAAGACCTCTCTCCTGCTCTGTTTAGGGGATAGTCTGAGTCCTTCCTGATGGCATGAAGACCAAACGAAGAACTGGTTCTGCAGTCCACCTCTGACCTCATCCCCATCCTTCAGATCCCGACAAGCAGTTTGCCAACTTGCAAGCTTTCTGGGCTGGAGGCTTGGGAATGGGGGAGTTTTGCACATCTGCTTATGCTGTGTATGATGCAGGACGGTTCTGAGTCGGGGACGTGTGAAGTCATTCTGGAAGAAGAGGGCAGAGGGAAGGATCTGGTAGGGGTTGGGGGAGAATGTGGCAGCTGTAACAGCATTTTCTTTTCCTCTTCTCCGGAAGTGAGCTATAGGCAAGCAACTGCGGGCCCCTGGGTATTTCTAGCACCTTCTTGAAGCCCCCGTTGGAAGCCTTTCAGGAGCTATGTGAATATAACCTGGACTGCTGGCTTCTGGGCCCCTCAGCAGTGATTGGATCCTGCAGTCGTGGAGCCTCTGATTACACGTAGAACCCATAATTAACTTTGTGTTTCCTTTCAATCTCTACCTATAATTGTGAACCTTCCCCAATGCTGGGGGAACGCTAGGTGGGTTTGGATATGCGCTGACATCAGAAAGTAGAATGAATAATACACAGAAATAACTGCTAGGTCTTGGCTGTCTTTCCTGGGCTGTCACTGCCCCGATCACTAGGGAGTCTGGTGTTAGGGACCTTTTTTAACCTTGGACTAAATACAGAGGCAGCCCACGTACCATCATGGGCATAGTCAAGGCTTTTCAACTCAATACGCACTGTCCTGCTCCCTAATGGTGGTAACCGCTCAATATAATACTTTGTAGAGCAGCAACGAACCATAGGTTAGTTAGGAGCTAGAGCTCTGGAGTCAGACAGACCTGGTTCAGATCCTAGCTATGTCACTTAAGGCCATATAACCTTGGGATAGTTAATATTTCTGGATTTTAAGTTTCCTTATCCACCTAATGGGAATAGTATCTCATAGGGTAATTGCAGGAAAGAAATGAGATTATACATGTAACGGTCTGAGGATAGTGCATTTCATAAATGCTATTAACATTATTGCATCTGTATATATTTTAATTTGTACAATATTGTCTCACTAATCACACAAAAAATACACAAAAGTGCTTTGAAAAATTTAAAGCATCATATAAATTAAAGGTGTCATTGGTGATAATCTCATATGAGTATTTCTCAACTCTTCTATTTCCTTAAAGACCGGGTCTACATCCTCTGTCCCACGGTGTATTGCACAATGATAGGCAAACAATAAGCCCTCAGTAAATGTTTCTTATTTGACTAAAGCAACATGGCAGAGCGTAAAGAGCATAGATATCAGGAGACTAGGCTGGGCTAAAATTAGTTTAAGGCAGGAGAGCCAGTCTGCAGTCATAATTTATCCATTCAACAAATATTTGTTGAACACATTCTATGTGCTAGATATTGAGTCCAGATAATTTCATCAAAAGGAGGCTGTACAAATTCCCACAAAGCCAAGTCCCTGGGCAGGCTCCACAGCGCCAGCCCACTCTACCGCACAAAGGCGGCAGCTAACATTGTTTACCACCAGACAAATGGCCCCTTGCTTTGGGGGAAGCCGTATGTAGCTCTGACTCAGAGCTGAGGGAGGGAGTGGGCCGCTTCCAACAGAAATGACAGGAACTGCTGCCTGTTAATTTATTTTTATTTACACTTACTTAGTCCACAGTTCGATCCTGAAGGCAATACAATGCTCCTTCCCCTAGGATGTCACCGCCCCTCCCCTCCGTCACCTCGGCGCTCAGTGCTCAGCCTTGGCCCACCTCACCCTGCCGCTCTGCTGTCGCCAGCTGCCTGCTGGGTGGGAGTACGGGAGAATGGTATGTGTGGTCACCAGAGGGCACTGAGAGTGGGCTTCCATGGCATGTGACTCCTGGCAGTCTCAGATCCCTGAGGGGGAGAGAAGAAAGCCAGGCCGAGACCACAAGTGGAGGGAGGGAGGCAGGGGCTGAGGTGACTGGGGGCAGGGAATCCAGTGTACAAATTCACTGTCTGTTGGGTTCACCCAAGGCTTCTGGTGTTTGTCTCCTCCCTGGAGTTGTCACGGTTGCCTTGAGATGCTCTGGTCTGTCGGCAAAGTGTGAAGGGGTCCAGCCCGGGGGCTCCGTGCCTGCTGCCGTTGGGCTGGTACACCCAGCAGGCTCTGCCTCTGTCAGAAGCACTGGCCAAAGTCAAAGCTACGACAGCATTCTTGGCCCTGTAAGAGTCCTCTCCGGCTGTCCCCGAAGAAGTTAGGTCCCTCTCAGTAGCTGGCCTGCTAGAGACGGGGTGTCTCCATGGCAGGCAACCCGCCAGGTTCCAAACCTGCATGTCTCCTTCTTTTCACACTGGGAGCAGACAGGTTGTTGAGGGGCAGCCGGAGGAAGTGGGGAGAAGGGAACAAAACCCAGGAGGGGCTCTTCGCTGGGGGCTGCCTGGGAGTCCCGGCTCTGGGGCGGCAGCAGCTGTTACATGGCTTCCTTCTCTCTCTGGGAGCATCTGCTGAGCTTCATCTCCGTCAGCTGGATGTACCGAATCACGTTGGTGTCTGTGAGGAGGGAAACACATCTTAGGGAGCACCTGGGCGGGGGGTGCGGGGAACTGTCGGGTCTACACAGAATCCTACTTTGTGCCACGCTTGTTACCTTCATCATCTATTTCACATCATTGCAATCATGCCAAGTACGGGTCCTCATCCTCACTGTGACAAAGGGGAGAACCGAGCCCCTGGAGAGATGAAGATGCCCTGGGAACCCCGTGGTTAAGTGGTGCATCTGACTTGGCAGCCTGCCTCCCCTGGGGAGCATAGTACCTTCTTCATACAACTGCTGCGAGGACCGAAATAGAGAAGTCTGAACGTGCTTCATCCAGTGAGCAACAAATATTCATTGAAGGTAAATTTTCTAAACTGAAGAGTTTAAAATGACTTTGCTTCATTGTCTTACTTTTGTCCTTTACGTAAGGTCAGGTACCCACCTCCCCAGAAACAGGGGCATTTCCCCCCCATTCTAAGGCATTAAGTTAGTGAGCAGCCTGCCTGGGATGTCATATGAATGCTAATACTCAGAAATGCCAGGGGTAGCATCTAGCAGTGCCGGCATATAGGAGGTGTTCAAGAAAATTCTGTTAAATGGGTCCAGTTCTTAGTCTTCAAGTTGCCTAGAGTATAGAACACAATTTATATACAGAAAAAGAACCTGTGACACATAAAAATAAAGATAAGGCATATGGGCATTCTTTAAGAATATAGAAAAAAGTATACATCTAGATATTTGCAAACTGATCCTGAAGTTCTTAAATTCTTCTTGGATGGAGAACTGCATTTTTTAAAAAAATCAGCCAAGTGAACAACCACGGTAACACCAAGTCAAATTTGTTGTTTAAATGTTACCTCCTCAGAGAGACCCTTCCTGACCACTTGGTGTAAAACAGCACCCCCTTTACTCCTGATTCTTTTACTCTGCTTTATTTTCTTCCTGGCACTTAGCATGACTAAATATTACATTATCTATCTGTCCATTTGTTTACTGTCTCTCCTCCTCTGTTATAACATAAACTCCTGGAAGGTAGCAGCTTCCTTTTATTCCCTGCTATCTACCCAGCATCTAGAATAGATCCTGACCCACTGTACCTGCTCAGTAAATGTCTGTGGAATGAATGAGTGGCTGAGCTGGTGGATATGAGTTTGAGCGAACGGTCCAGGTAATGCAGGCTCTAAGAAATGGGAGGTGACCAGAGAAGTCAGAGCATGCTTCCTGGAAGATGCTGAGTTCAGCACCAAGAGTATCCATTCATATTCTGTCTCGCCAGCTGGAGTGTGAGGTCCTCACAAGTAGGGATTCCATCTTCTTATCTACATCCCTGGCATCCAGCACAAACCGTGGCACATAACTCAGAATTCAATATGTATTTATTGAGTAAGCAGAGAGAGCTGGCTTCTGGATTGGAAAAAACCCCAAAGAATTCCATATTCTATTTGAAAAGAGGTGCCCCAGCTCCTTGGAACGCAGACCCCAGGCAAATGCATGGACTGTTTATGCTCCTCATTTCAGGTCCCGCCCCACGCCTGGCCCCGCCAGCGAGGACAGCTGTGCGTCACGACGGGGAGGCCTCCGGAGCTGCCAGAGGGGACCGACAGTAGGAAAACAGCAATTGCCACCTTACCTGTTGGCTGTCGGGTCCTGGCTTCCTTCAGGTAGTAGAGGGCTTTGTTGTAGTCTCCAAGGTGGTAGAAGGCCACACCAGACCGGTAAAGGGCCTTGAAGTTCTCTCCTTCCTTCTTCAGGACTTTGAGGCAATACTCCTTGACTCGCTCGTAGTTTACCAGCTCAGCCTGGAGCAGGCAGGCTATGGAGGAAGGGAGAGAGAAGGGAAAAGGCTATAACACAGCAGACTCTGAATGTCTCTCTTTGGTTCTTTCTCCCTGCCCAGAAAAGGTGGAATTGTGTCGGGGTTTTATGCTGGGGTGTATTGCCATGGGATTTGTCATCAAATAATCTAGAGTTCTAGGACCCACTTTCATCACCAACAAACTGTGTAACCTTGAGTAAGTTACTTAGCCTTGAACTGTGTCCCCTCCAAAAAGATATGTTGGAGTCCTAACTCCTAGTACATCAGAATGTGACCTAATTTGGAAGTAGGATCTTTACAAAAAGGTAATCAAGTTAAAGTAAGGTCATTGGAATGGGTCCTAATACAATATGTCTGGTGTCTTTATAAAAATACACACAATAGGGACGCCTGCGTGGCTCCGTCAGTTAAGCCTCTGCCTTTGGCTCAGGTCATGATCTCGGGGTCCTGGCATAGGGCTTGTCACCTGGAATTGGGCCTGTGTCATTGTGCTCTGCGCTCAGTGGGGAGTCTGTTTCTCCCTCTCCCTCTGACCCTCCCGATTGCTCTTGCTTGCTTGCTCTCCCTTTCTCAAATGAATAAATTAAAAAAAATGCTGCTATAGACTGAATGTTTATGTTTTCCAAAATATTCATGTGTTGAAAACCAATCCCCAGTGTGATGGTATTTGGAGGTGGGGTCTTTGGGAGGTGACTAGGTCATGAGGGCTGAACCCTCATGACTGGGATTAGTGCTCTTATAAGAGAGACCTTAGCGATCTCCCTTCCCCTTCTGCCATGAGGACATGGCAAGAAGACAGCTGTCTTTGAACCAGGAAGCAGACTCTCACCAAACACTGAATCTACTACCTTGACCGTGGACTTCCCAGCCTTCAGAACTGTGAGAAGTAAATTGTGTTGTTTGAGCCACCTAGTCTATGCTATTGGTATAGCAGCCCAAACGGACAAACACAAACAGGAAGTTTGGACACAGAGACAGAAGCACACAGAGGTGAGACAATGTGAAGAAACACAGGAAGAAGACGGCCGTCTATAAGCCAAGGAACGCCTGAGGCCCCCACAAGGTAAAAGAGAAGCATGGAACAGATTCTCCCTCATAGGCCCCCGAAGGAACCAAATCTGCCAACACCTCCATCTTGGACTCCTACTTTCCAGAACTATGAGACAATAAATTTCTATTGTTCAAGCCACCAGTTTATGAGATTCGTGTTGTGGCAGCCCTAGGAATAAGCTACGAGAGGCAATGACAAAGCTAACTGTGGCTAACACTTGTCAAGTGCTCACCTGGTGCGCGATGCTCACGTCATTGCTTTACTTGTATTCCCCGACATAATCCTCAGAATACCATGATGTAGGGCTGACTGTTATTCCCATTTTACAGATGAGGAAACTGAGGCCCAGAAAGATTAGGTCATTTCCCAAGGGCACACAACATGACAGAGGCAAGGCTGGGATTTATTTATTTATTTATTTTTAAAAGATTATTTATTTATTTGTCAGAGAGAGAGAGAGAGAAAGCACAAGCAGGGGGGACAGGCAGAGGGAGAAACAAGGCTCCCTGCTAAGCAGGGAGCCCTATATGGGGCTCGGTCATGACCTGAGCCGAAGGCATATGCCTAACCAACTGAGCACCCCAGGCCTTCCAAGGCTGGGATTTAAATCAAAGCTGCCTGGCTCTAGTGCCCAAGTTCTTTATCGAGTTGTTGAGGGGATTCATAAAATAATGGCCATAAAGTATTTAACACAGGGCTTGGCACAGAGTAAGTTACCCCAAGTGTCATTTAATATTATTATCATTCTTTTCAACCTTCTTACACCCCTGCAGTGACAACTGCCTCTGACTTTCTTCAAGTTCTCACTCATGCAAGTTTGTCTTTGCATTTCCTGGGAGTAGGGGCCTTCTGATGGGCCAGTGCCCAGCCCGTAGAGAGAGCACACCTCATGACCTGTGAGGCCCCGTGTCCCAGGCAAGAGGAAGCTGGGGCTGGCAGGTGTCTGTGGTGGGGCCCCTTCCTATTTTCTATCAGCCTTCTCTGAGTGAACCATCACTCCTTGAAGCTTCCTCTCACCAGCCATCTGCTGCAGGGCCAGAGCCAGGGCCAGGAAGCTTGCGAGACCCTGGAGAGTGAGGCCCCCTTTCCTTGTGTGCCCAGTGGCCCCCCTGCCTCACCCAACTCCCCACCCTGCTGGGCTGCCTCCCCCTCCATGCGATCATGCAAATGTTTAGTAGGCACTGAGTGAAGATTGTGTTATGCGTTGGAGGGATTACCAGAAAGGGGGAGGGGGAGGGGCAGGGAAAGGCACCTCTCTGCTTCTTCCAAGTGAAAAAAAAGAGACGTAGGAGGCAAGGGTACCTGGGTGGTTCAGTTGGTTAAGTGTCTGCCTTTGGCTCAGGTCATGATCCCGGGGTCCTGGGATGGAGCCCCGCATCGGACTCCCTGCTCAGCGGGAAGCCTGCTTCTCCCTCTCCCCCTCCCCCTGCTCATGCTCCCTCTCCCTCTCTCTCAAATAAATAAAATCTTAAAAAGAGAGAGAGAGAGAGAGATGTAGGAGGCAAAAGCGCTCTTCCCACCAAGACCAGACTGGGTGGTGGGGGAGAAGGCTGATGGCTGCTCCTTGTGCTCAGATTCCTCCCACACGGGAGGAACCGCTGTGTCTCTGGGATAGAGGCGAGTCACTGATTTAAATCTTCGGAGGTCTAACTTCAGCTGTTTTGATCCCTTAAATAACTTCCCAGGGATAAGAATTGCTGATTAGGAGATCAGATCTTTCATTGGACATTTTGCGGGGGGGAGGAATACCCACCCACATCCTTCTTGCCGACTAAGGGGGAGGTGAACCACACAGTCTCTGAAGTTGAAAGTGTGAGAACCAGGAAGTGGAAGAGAATCACCCCAGATCTAGAAACTGACCCATCAGGTTTCACAGGCCCCAGGGCAGAAAGCCAAACAGGGAGACCAAAGTGAGGGGCTGCTACCCCCTTAGGTGTGGATGGCTGTGGTCATAGAAAACCATGTGCTGACAGCCGGGTGTCCATCCGGCTGAGCTGATGCCACCCTCTCCTCTCCTCCCTCAGCTATGGGGACCCCTCCCCACCCCCCAAGCTGTTGGAGCCCGCCCTGGTGCTCACACAGCTCTGCGGACAGGGAGGGCTTTCTGTCGAGAGGTTCCTGTGCATGGACCTCACAGGCTACCTGTGTGGGGCTTGGCTCCAACACCTGCTCCCAGAGCTAAAGGATTTCCTGTCTGGGCTCCCACATGCCTCATCTGGTGTCCTTTCTGCCCAGGCAGGGCAAGCCACTTCCTATCCATCTTCAGACAGACACTTCTGTTGGCTGACCTGAGCAGTTTAGGAAATGGGCCTTTGTCTCTTTTAAAAACAGCTTTTGAATGCCTAAAATGAGGGTGGGGTGGTGAGGAAAGGAAGCAAGAAGGCCTGGAAATGGAAACAGATCCTCCTCGCCCCAGGGGAGAAGGAAGGATAGCCATCAAATTCTGGGAATCCTTCATTGAAAATGTTTCGAATTCCCCAGTGGCTCCAGATCCAGTGGGAACTGTGATACTTGGCCGTGGACCAGGTTTCAGACCCCGTGGGAGGTGGGGCCAGGCAGCTTACAGGGTGTGGGGGCCCCTGCTGGCACAACAGGCGGAGCCCAGGAAGACGGAGAAATCTAGAGTCAGCTTGGGTCCAAAGGGGCTGCCGTCCTAAAGGCTGGGTCAGGGCGGAACCCAGGCAAGAAACCTGGGGTGCCAGCCAGAGCTCTTAAGGGGAGTCTGGGGTGGAGGTGGTAAGAGTCTGGAAAGCTACCCACAGCCCTAACCATAGGTGATTTTTTAGGCACCCCTGTAGTTTGGGTGGGAAGCTATTTTGGGGTTCACATAACAAGCCCAAGGGAGAGGTAAGATGGGATGTTTGTAGGCACATCCTTAGAGTGGAGAAAGTTCAGAAGGAGAGGTTGACCAGCAGTCTCAAGATGTTCCTTCCGCATCCCTATGCCCACTACGCAGGGCCTGTGGGCTGCAGCCGCAGCATCCCAGTGCCCTTGCTTCCTCTCCATGGTTAATCCCTTGCCCTGGGTCAGAGGCGGTGCTCGGTGCCTTACGTACACTATGTCTTTTCATCTTCATGGTAACTGTGAAACAGGTTCTATTTAGATGCTTCTTTTTTAGACGATGAAACCCATTCCAGAGAAATTAAGTCACCTGCTCAAAGTCACTCAACTAGGAGGTGGTAGAATTATGATATCCACCCACTTCTGCCAGGATCTCCAGATTGTGCTCTTGACCATGGGTTTCTGTGGGTCTGTGTTTGGAGCCTTCCAAAACCCATGTAACCCCCAGTAAAAGCCACATCGCCTGTGTAAACTACCTTTCTCTGTGTTCCAGGGTCAAGAAGGCAAAAAGCAATGCCTAACTTCACTGGGCACTGTTCAGGGTGCTGGGATCAGTGGTGAACCAAACACTCCATTCCATCCTGGAACTAATGGGCTGGTGGGGAAGGCAGACGTTCCATTATCTTGAGTACTGCCATGTGCCAAGACTGAGAAGAAAGGAAGAGAAGGAGCACGCTGAAGGGGAGGGGCCCTCAACCAATATAAAGTATCATGGGAGGGCTTCATGGAAGAAGTGGTATTTAAGCGGGGCTCTGAAGACTGAGTGTTTCTCAACCTTAGCACTATAAATATTTTAGGCTGGATAACTTTTTGTTATAGGGGGATGCCCTGTGCATTGTATGATGTTTAGCAACATCCCTGACTTCTACCCACTAGACGCCAGTTGTGACAACCAAAAATACGTCTCCAGATATTGCAAAATGTCCTGGGGGAGGGGGGAGGTAAAATCCTCCCTGTTTGAGAACGAGTGATCTAGGTGGAAAGGAGAAAACGCTTTCTAGGCAGAACCAACAGAGAAAGAGATCGAGAGGGGTGGAAGGGGGAGATTGACTTATTTGAGGAGTTTTGAGGAACTATGCCTGGCTGGAGCAGAGAGACTGAAGGG